TCCCCATCAGCACTTCCTGTCTTCCTTGAAGTCCCAGCTGAAATTCCATCTACCCCAGGAAGCCTTTTCCATTCCCAATCCTTAAGTCCAGCACCATCCCTCTATTGATTATTTCCAACTTATTTTCCTATACCTTGTATGAACTAGTTGTCTCCTTTGTTAGACTGAGCTTCTTGAGAGAACGGATGCCTTTTGGTGGTGGTGGGGCTTTCTTTCTATCCCCAGTACTTAGCATGATGCTTGGTACATGGTTGGTGCTTAATAAATGCTTACTAACTGATTGACTGACTCCTTCCCTTAGTCTTTCTTGTCCCCGTGGCATCCTGTAAGAATGGAAATGAGGAGGAGCTTCAGAAGTCATCTAATCCAATCCCTTCACTGAGTTAACAAGGAAAATCCAGATAAACGAGGTCAAAGTCAAACACTCGGTGATAACTAGAGCTCCCATCCACAAAGCACTCTAACCACATAGTTGCTTGCCCATGGACCCCCATTGGAATGCATGCTCCTTGAGGCCAGGACTGACCCCTGCCTTTTTTGTGTTTCCTTCACACAGTACCTGCTCATGGTAGGCTTTTAATCAATTCACTTTGACTTGCCTTTATTCTATGGGGGCTCTGAGTTGATCCACACAAAGGTCACCCCAAGCCAGATCTCCATGAGCTGTCCTGTGTCCTGTGGCAAAGGTCATATTTGGCTTGTGGGAGGGGCTGGCCCAGCAGCTGCCTGGCTCCATTCCAGCAATGGGCTGTGCCTCTCTTCCCCAGAAGCTGGCCCGTTAGTCTCTGAATGGAAGTCTCTCTGAGAGTTGCCCGGCCCCGTTAGAAGAGCCAGTGGTCACTTGGTCATTGTTCAGGAGGTTATGAGCTTTCCCGAGTAATTCCTGTGACCTGTAATTCCTGTGAATTCCTGTGACAATTTCTCCAGACTTCTCCTTCTCAAGCCTTAACTTTCATTTCCCTTTGTCATTGTCTCCCCCAATCTCACCCTTTACCAACAAAGAGGAATGGGCAGGGTGCCTTTAATCTGGTCTGTGTAACCGAAGCCATAGACAGAGAATTCCCTTTGAAGCACACAGGCAGAGTTACCACAGTGGGGACTTGGCCTTGTTTCGTCTGTTTTCTGTTTCACTAGGGGTTTTCTTTTGTCTGGAGCCATATTCACATGTGCGTATTATTTCTGCATGCACATAATGAGTTTTCTCATCCGTCAAGTGAGCCGGAGAACGAAATGGCCAACCACTCCAGTATGTTTGCCAAGAAAACCCCAAATGGGGTCACAAAGTCAGACATGACTGAAATGACTGAACAACAGCCATACACTTCACAAAGTTGGTCCTCACAACAATCCAGGAAGGTAGGTACAATTGTTATCCCCCATTTTAGAGTTGGGGAAACTGAGGCAAGCAGAGGTTAAGTGATTTGCTCAGTGTCACCCAGGTAGTAAGTAGGACTTCCTGGCACCAGGTATAGAATTCTATCTGTCAAGCCACCAGTTACTCTCGACAGTGAAACTTTATTGGGGTTAAGTGTCCTATGTAAGGTTTCATACCTAGTAAGTGGCTGATTCAAACCCAGGTTTGAAGTCCCAATCCAATATTATGACGGCTATACCACTTGTCTCTGGTTCAAGAATTGTTTACCTTTATTGGTAGACTCCTTTATTAGGCGGTCTGGGGAAACCTATGGCCCCTTGTGAGAATTTTGTTTGAAATGCATGAAATAAAACACATGGGATTACAAAGGATACTAATTATGATGAAACACAGCAATTCACTTTTTTATCCTGTCCAAGTCTATGGAGATCCTGAGATCTGTCTATGGAAGCCTGGGAGTGGATGTGGAGTGGGGAGGAGGAGGGTCTTTGGAGCCCGGGTTAAGAACCCTGCTCTAATTCAAGCCCTTATTACAAGCAGATGGTGGCTCTGGGTTTAGACTCAAGAATATCTGAGTTCTAATCCAGCCTCAGATATGTACTAGCTGTGTGACCCTGGGCAAGTTGCTTTGAAACCTCTGTATGCCTCAGTTTCCTCCACTGTAAAATGGGGGTAATCATAGTACCTCCTTTCCCGGGTTGGTGGGGGTTAGATAAAGTGCTTGTAAGGAATTCTTAGTCCAATGCCTGGTGCATAGTAGGTGCTACATAAATGCTTTTTTCTCTCCAGGACTATTACAACACCCTAATTACTGCCTTTTTCTGATCTTTCTTTCAATCCATTCTCCACAGCTCCACAGAGCAAGGCTCTCAATGTCTTAGTCAGTTCATTCTCTGGCTCAGAAATCTTGAAAAGCTTCCTGCTGCCTAATAATCAAACTTCAAGTCCTGAGCCTGACATTCAAGGCCTCCTTTTCAAAATTATTACTTTTCCAGCCTTATCTGAATCCCCTTTGGAGATTCCAGACAAACTGTACTGCTTACTTTTCCTCAGATTCAACTCAGCCTCTCCTGCTATTTCTTATCCCTGGAAGACTCCATCTCTCCCATCTCTATTTGTTGAAATCGCTGACAGACCCCTATCCTAAAGACTCAGATCAAAGTCACCTCTACCTCAAGCCTTCCCAGATTCCCCACAGTTAAGGTTTGTGGGGATTATAATTGCCCAATCTGCAAGAAAAATCACTGAGGCAGAGCTCTGAGCCAATGGTACTTTATTAAAGGATCCATGGCCCCCTCTAATGAAGTGGACCTCAGATCTTCCTCATGATCTGAGAAGACCACTTCCTCCAGGGCCTTAGTTTTATAGTTCTTCATACCTGGACAATACAGGTGAAGCAGACCAAAAATACAGAATCTCCTTGGTTGATAGACCTTGCCCTTGGCTCTTTGCAAGGGTCTGCACAAAATAGAGAATCTCACTGGTTGACAAACAGGCTAGTGAGCAGACCTTAATAGACCTATCTTGACCTTTCAAGAGGTCTACCACATCAATATGCAGATTCATGAGATCGGGCTGATCAGTGGATATCAAAACATCTACATGGGCCAATGAGCTGGTAGAAGAGCAGGCCACAGTCTGGCAACCAAGGTCACTCATTGACTCCAGGCTCATGGACATTCCCTTATGTTGTGCAATAGAGGGATGACAAGAGATGGAGGGGATTCATGTAATAGCTGAGGGACTTCATGCAATTGAATCACCTTCGTCACTCTGGGCTTGGCACCATAACAAGGAAAAACAATGTTGGAGGTCCTCTGGTTAGCTTTCTATGATTGAGCAAGTGAACTTTGAATGTGTAGCTCGCAGCTCTGAGGCTTACTATCAGAATTTATACTTACCACCCCTATGGAATCATATCAAATTGATTACTACTGAATGAGATAAAATAAGGATCCAATAAATCACCTGTTACAGGTTTCTTCCTTGGAGCTCAAGTGACATTTTGTTAGTATCACTTTGGTCCCTCCAGGAAACAGCACTGTGCTTATCCCTGGCCGCCCTCTCCAGTGTGGATTGCTCCTTCCCCACACAGGGGCCAAGAAGGGCAGTTGGCTTGCCCTTTGCTCCCCACTGATATTTACAGATCCCTCTCTGTGCCCCCCCTCCCACTCTACGGTCTTCTGTCCCTTGAGGTCCACTGTGGCCATCTCTATAACCCTGGCCCGTCTCTCTTCTCAGCGCTGTCAGTACCTGGCTCATGATGTCCTTCTCCATTGCCAGTCTGGCGCTTAAGCTTGCAGACTATAGTACACAATAATGTCCCCTTGAACAGCCTGGCTTCCCTGTCTGTTAATCTCATGACCCACGGGTCCATGTCAGTCACCCAATGAGATGAGCAAAGTTTGGATCTCAAGGTCACAGAGAATGATAAACCTGGAATAGATTGACCATAAACCAATGGCTGAGACAGCAGACACACTGACATTTTGCAACATAAGATCTGAGGCTAGATTGAGAAGGGCATCGTCTGAAAAGTCTACCTTTTATAGAGCAATGAAGGAGTGCCTTGGAGTCAGGAAAGACCACCCCGCCACCTCCTCCTCCTACATGACATAGGTAGATTTAACTTCTTGTACTCTCATCTCAGCTGGAAAAATGGAGATCATGTTACATATAACACCAAGCTCAGTGTGTTTTCATGAGGATCAAGCAAGGTAGTGCATATGGTACATTTTACAAATCATATAATACTTCATAAATGGCAGCTATTATCATGATTTTTACAGAACATACACCCGGAGTCAGGAAGACCTGCGTTCAAGTTTGGCCTTAGACCCTTCCTAGCTGGGTGATCCTAGGCAAATCACTTAACTTTGTCTTAAAATGAGGACACAGTAGCACCTATCTCCCTCCTCCCCCAGGCTGTTGTGAGCAGCAAATGAAATAATATAAGTCAAACACTTTTTTAAATTTTAAAACACTTTATAAATGTTAGCTAATTCTGTTTTTACTGTTACTATGGTAAGCAGGTCAGATAAGCAGACTGCAGATTGATCCCGGGAAAGGTTTCCTAACAGTTTCTGCTCTCCCCTGGGTAATGGGCTACCCCCCCCCCCCCAACAGGCAGCGGCTTCCCAGGAGCAAAGGTCTTTAGGCTGCTCTCAGGAACATTCTAGAGGAGATTTCTGGTCAGATCCAGATTGCACCACCAATCTATTCTGGAACTCTCTCACAGTCCCCTCCTCACTTTATCTGAAGCCCTTTGGGGGCCCTGGCCAGGCGTCCCACTTATTCCCTCTGCTGGCTTCCTTGCAGCCCTCTGCACACTGCAGGTTCTCAGTGAGTGCCTGGTGGTAGGCTGGCTCTAGCCGTGCTCTGGCCCAAACTGACCCCAAAAGAACCAGGGAAGGGCTGTGTGGTCCAGAGCGAGCCAGGGTGTTAGTCTTCTCAGTGCCCACTTGCAATTCTTCGCTGGGAGTCTGGGCCTATACTCTTCTCTTTTGTTAATCTCACAGCGGACCTTGCTTGGACTGTGCCTGGGGGCAGCTCAAATAACCCTCCTTCTGGGCGGAGACTCAGCCTAGTAGCGTTGGCTGCTGAGTAGGGCAAGTGCCAGGAAGAAGGAGGAGGAGGAGGAGGAGGAGCCCCAGCCCCAGCAGCAGCCGCCCTGGCAGCAGCAACATGGCAAAGAAATCTCTGTACCTGCTGATTTCTTGTGCCCTTCTTTCCTACTTTGTGTACACTCCTCTCCCAGATAATATCGAACAACCATGGAAACTGATGATGACCTGGGCCTTCCTTAGGTTTCAGATGCACCTGGTAAGTGGAGAATTTGGTTGGCTCTGGGTGTTAGAGTGAGACACTGCCAAGAAGGAAGATGGGAACGCTTCCCAGGGACCTGGAGCTCTTATGTTTGCCAGTGTTAAAATATTTTCTTTTTTTTTTAAAGGTAGAATATTTCAGAACGATCTCATTTGAGATTCCTATCCAAGACAGACAATTTAGTGCAGAGGTTCCCAAACTTATTTGGCCTATGGCTCCCTTAAAAAAAAAAAGTACTCAGTATTTCCTTGGAAATCTCTAACTTTTTAATGGTTCTTTTTTTTGAAATTTTCATCATTTCAAAAAATATTTTTTTTAAAATGACACATATTTAATAATTTATTGTAAATTTGTGGGGATTTTCCCCTGCATTGAAATTTTGATGACACATCAAATTTCGTCATGTGACCATATAGTATCAATACAGATTATTACATGCACGTATTCCTGCCAATTACATGCTGGTCTTCCCAACAATGTGCAACATACTCACCTGGCATTACTTGCTTGTTCAGACCTGTCAGTGGACTTGACGGCTGATCAGTTATAACTTGCATTTTGTATATTTATTTGGAAAATAATGTTAACTACTACGACTTTAACACTGTTACATGACAGATGAAACATGTACAAACTGTTTATGGTTTTTCAAAATTTTCTTCTCTTCTCTTCTTTCCTTACGCCCCCTTATTTTGCCCCCTTAATTTATTTATCCCCTTTATTATTATTGCCTCCTTGTTTTTATTCAATGCCCCCCAATTACACCTGAGGATACTACTGCCCTCCCCATTGTTCCAGCACCTTGCAGGGGGTGGTATCACTCACTTTGGAAACTCATGTGTGGTTATATAGTTATGAATGGTTTTCTTATCTTGTCCAGAACCAAGCCTCCACCTCTCTTCCTGGCTACCAGCTCCAACAATGGTGCCAAACATACCTTCCCTCTTCTTTATAGTCTTCCCTTTTCCAGGCCCTTTTTATATGTTTTCTTTCCTCTTTAGAATGGTAAGCTCCTTGAAGGCAGGAATTGTCTTCATTGCTTGCAATATATCCCCAGTGCTTAGCACAGGGTCTGGCACACAGTAAGCAATTAATAAACGTTCAGTCTGTTCTTTTGTCTGTCTGCCTGCTAATCAGTCTATTTTTCTATCTATCTATCTAAACATCTACTTTATCTGTCTTCCTATCACATAGCTATCAGAGGATGATTTTCATGATCTCCTTCATTATTTGTGCTTTTTCCTTCCTCAAACTCTCCTGTTCACATTTTCATGTTTTTTTTAAATTAAATTAAATTTTTTTCCCCTTTTTAGGCAGTTAGAGTTAAGTGACTTGCCCAGGCTCACACAGCTAGTAAGCGTCAAGTGTCTGGTCTGAGGTCGGATTTGAACTCAGGTGCTCCTGACTTCAGGGCTGGTGCTCTATCCACACCTAGCTGCCCCCACATTTTCATATTTTGATTTGCATACATTGTTTCCTCCTGATAAAACCTTTTAGTTCCTTAAGGGCGAGAGCCAATTAATTTTTGTCTTTAGATTCCCTTGTGCCTAGAAATTTGTTCTGCCATAATAGGCATTGAGCACCAGCTTGTTGGGTTGTAGAGATGTTGGTGGGGTAGATTATACTTGATAGCAGACACCTTGTTCTGGTCTCAGGTATCGCCTAAAGATAAAGTGGAGGCATCCGAATGGCTTAGGGAATAGAGTGTGGGGCCTGGATTAAAAAAGACCTGAGCTCAGATCTGGTCTCAGACACTAACTAGCTGGGTGACCCTGGGCAAATCACTTCACCCCGTTTGCCTCAGTTTCTTTATCTGTAAAATGAACTAGAGAAGGAAATGGCAAACCATTCCAGTATCTTTGCCAATAAAACCCCAAATGGAGTCATGGAGAGTTGGACATGACCAAAATGACCGGACAACAACAGTCAACACTCCTTCTCAGATGCTGGATTTAGTGAACTGGGCAGTGCCCCACCTACCGCACACTTTAAGCAGTAACCTTGGATCCCAGGCAGTTACTAAACAAGGAATTATTAAATGCTTAATAGGTGTGCGACTCAGTGCTTCTCACCAGCAAGAAAAGCAGTGACAGTCCATACCCTTCTGAAACGTGTAATCAGAAGGGGGAGGCAACATGCAAACAGCTATGTTCATAGAAGATAGAAGATAGTCAAAGGAAGATAAGTCAAAGGGGAAAGCTCTAGCCTGCTCTATGGAGGGATAGGGAAGGGAGAATGGCGAGGGCCTCCTAAAGAAGGTAGCATTTGGGCTAAATCTTCAAGCCATCCAGGGACTCAGAGAAGCGGAAGAGATGAAGGAGAACATTTTGGAAATGGGGACACGCCTGTGCAAAAGCATAAATATGGTAGATGGAGTGTTGTAGGAAAGGAAGAGGGAGAAGATCAGCCAAGCTGGATTATAGATTGTGTGAAGGGCAGTAGAGACTGAAAAGGAGGCAGGGGTCAGGTTGTGAAGAGTTGTACGTGCCAAAAGCCTTTATATTTGATCCTGTAGTAATAGGGGGTAGCTGAAGTTTGTTGAAAAGGGGAAAGGACATGCTCAGGAAATTACATAATTGGGAAGTTTACTCAATTTGGGAAAATTTGGCAAAATAGGAGGTAGATTAGGTACATGAAAGGCTGGAGGCAGGGAAGAGAAGGAGATGTATGCTCAAGAGGTTTTGAAAATAAAATAGCAAGATTTGGCAAGGGATTGTGTAAGTAGGGTGAGTGAAAATGAGGAATTGAGGATGCCATGGAAATTGCAGGCCTAAGTGACTGGCAGGTTGATGACTCAGTAATACAGAAGTTCAGAAGAGGGTAGTTTTTGTTTTTGTTTTGGGGTGGGGACAATGTGTTCTGCTCTGGACAAGTCATGTTCGAGATGTTTATGGGATACTAAATTTGAAATATCTGAAAGGCGATGGGTGACAAGGGACTGCGGCTCAGTTGAGAAACCAGGACTGGAGATAAGAGATCTGGGAATTATCTATCTAGAAATAATCATTAAATCCACTGGGACTGAGAAGATCATCAAGTGAGGCAGTATCCAGAGGAACGCCAAGAGGGAAGAAGAAAGGACCTCAAAAGAAACTAAGAATTGCCAGTTGTGACAGGGATAAAGGATCAGCAAAGGAGACTGAGGAATTTTGAACAGGGAGAGGACCAACCAGAAGAGAATCATTCATGAAAACTCCACAGGAGATAGTACCCACGAACAGGTGCTAACAGCGTCAAGTACTGCAGAGACATCAGAAAGGATGAGCACTGAGAAGGCCAGGAGGATTTGGCAGCTTAGAGCTCACCGCTAAGTTTAGAAAGGGCGACTTCGTTTGAATGATGAAGGTAGAAGCCAATTTGCAGAGGGTTTAGAAGACACGAACAGGACAGGAAGAGAGAAAGTGCATACGGATGGATTTTTTCCTGTTTAAAAAATATTCCAAACAACACCAAATGAAATGAAGTTTCCGCGTGCCAAAGTAGACTGGACATGAAGGACCGCACATAAAACTGTAAATATTTGTTACGTACCTCTTGCTTTTCTTTTTAAATATCTGACTCTCCCTAGCTCCCCTCTCCTTCCCATAAGACCCTAATTTGAAAAAAAAATCAACTTGGAATAGTCAGGCAAAACCAATTTCTCCAGTGGGCATTTCTCTAAATGTTTGTCTTATTCTGCATCAGGGCTCCATCTGCTTTTTCTCTTAGCAGATGTGGAGTGTACTTAAACCATGGTCTTCTGGAATCCAAGTTCTTAAGTCTCTCTAAGCCGTTGTTCCTTACAGAGGCATTGTCTTCGTATACACCATCCTCCTGGTTCTGCTCACTTCACTTTGCACCAGTTCATACAAGTCTTCCTGGGTTTCCTTGAAACCAGCGCTTTCATCATTGCTTGAAGAATATTCCTTTCCATTCATATGCTACAATTTGTTCAGCCATTCCCCAATAGATGGGCACTCTTTAACCCAACTCTTTTCTTTTCTTTTAATCTTCCCTCCATGACCAGGATGTTTGATTTGCTCCTAGTAATTTCGGTTGAATAGTGAGTTCTCACCCCAGCAGCTAGGCTTTTTGTGGTTTTCCAATATGTGGCAACCAGATTCACTTGCTTCTCTATGTTGAATACCTAATTTGTTCCACTTATCGATCTATCTCTCTCTCTCTTTTTTTTTTTGTTTTTTTTTTTTTGGTGAGGCAATGGGGGTTAAGTGACTTGCCCAGGGTCACACAGCTAGTTAAGTGTCAAGTGCCTGAGGTCAGATTTGAACTCAGGTCCTCTTGACTCCAAGGCCGGAACTGTATCCACTTCGCCACCTAGGTGCCCCCCATCTCTCTTTTTTTAAATCAGTACCAAATCATTCTGTAGAATAGTTTGAACTCTAGCCTTCTTCCTTTCTACTTTATTCTCATTATTTTTCTTAATATTCTGGTCCTCCAGATGAATTTTATTGTTATTTTTAACTCTATAAATATAAATATATTATTTTAGCTCTATAAAGTAATCCTTTGATAGTTTGATTATTATCATATTGAACCAGTAAATTAATTTAAATAGCATTATCATTTTTATTATATTGTCATGGCCCAAATATGCAAAATTAATATTTCTCCAACTATTTAGGTCTGACTTTATTTCTGTGGAGTGTTTTGTAGTTATTTTCAAATCGCTTCTCTGTGTCTTTCAGATATACTTCCAAATATTTTTTCTAACTGTAGTTACTATAAATGGAATTTCTTTTTCTCTCTCTTCCTTCTAACGCTTTACAGGTATGCTAATGATTCATGTGGAATTATCTGACGCCCTGCAACTTTGCCGAGGTTATTATTTCAATTATTTTTTATTTAACTCTTGAGACTTCTTTAAGTAGATCACATCATCTACAAAAGATGATTTTCTTTCCTCTATAGCTGTGTTTATTCTCTTGATTTTTTTCTTGTGCTATTGCTGTAAAGCTACAACTTTGAACACTACGTTAAGTAGTAATGATGGTGATGAATATGCTTGCTTTCTCCCTGCCCTTAATGGAAAGGCTGTTCATTTTTGCCTTTTCCATGAAATGTAGGCTGTTCATTTTCAATAGATATATTTACCGTAACAAAGAAAGATCAATTTTATATATTGCTATGCTTTCTAGTATTTTGAACAGAAACTGGTATTGGATTTTGTCAAAAGGTTTTTTTTGGTTTTTTTTTGCATACAGATGACTTTTTCAAGGCATTTAGCTGAGGAGTCACATGTGTAAAGAGATGACTGTTCCTTGATTACCCAGGACTCATGGGCAACTATAAATGGCATCACTTGAAAAAAAATACTGATGTTAGTATAATTTTATGGGAAAAGTGCTGGATTCATAGTCAGAGCTGGCCCTGAATCGCAAATCTGCCACTTAGTTGCTCATACACAGCAGGGGTCCCCCATGTGGGACCACCCACAAGTTCCTGGGCCTTGTTTTTTTATGCTATAAAATGGGGATAATAAGGGATTCTCTCCATAGTTCCATAATCAGAGGAAAACTACTTTGCAACCTTTCCAGCATATTGAAATGTGAGTTCTCATTAACATAATCAATAAAATTAACAGAATAACGTTGTGAATAACAGCTGCAACAACACTATGCCTGCTTCTAGCCCCTGGCTTTCCCTGACTTATCCAAAATGTTGGAAGGTTGGAAAAATCGTGGAAGGCCTTAAGTGCCAGGTTGAGGATCTTGTACTTTTTCATATGGTTCACAGGAGATACCAAAGGATTTGAGAGAAGAAGTGACATGGTCGGACTTATACATCAGGACCAAGACAGAGAAAAAAAAAATCGGTTCATTTCGATTGATCCCATAGACAGTCCATAGACAGCCCATAGACAGTCCACTTTCAGGCCAGGTGTAACCCAGAGGCACCTGTAAGTTATCTCTATCTGTAAATCAACAGGTTACACACAAAAGAACTTAGAAAAAAGAAAAAAATATCAATCCAGTTGCCAGTTTGTTTTCAGGAAGAAAATTAAATTATAAAGTTGAGAGATTTGATAAGGGCTGAGATTGAATTTTAGAAATCTTAATGATCATTTGATCAACCATTTCTATCAATTTATTTTGCACTTTCAAAACAGATTTTGGTAGCTATGTGTGGTCCAGAAGCAGGTAGGGTTTAGGGCATTCATGCCGCTAAGCAGAGGTTTATGGAAAGCATGGTCAGAGGTCAGGAATCTAGATAATAGAAAGAGACAGAGCAAAGATCAATACTGGCTATCTAGATTAGTAACAAGACAGGATTGGGACTTCAGGGAATTAAGCCAGAGGCTGGGCTATCTGTAGTTACAGTGGTTAGGAATATGCCATCTAGGGAGTCAACCAAGGCATAAATCTGGAAAGAGGCCCCAGAGGTCAGGACGGAAGGGGACTCCCAAATTTACATTTCTCACCCTAATCCCTCTCCTGACTTTGTCCTGCCTTCTCCACTACTCATCTCCACCTGGATGCCTATCACCAATGTTCATTTTATACTCCAAACACAACATTCTCAAAATGGAGCCCATCAATTTTTCCTTCTAAACACACGAGACATTGTTGGCTCTTTCTTCTCTCTTGGAGACTCCCTTGGAGTCTGCGTCCAATCAATTGCCACACCATTGCTGATTATATCTCAATGATGTCTCTTAAATTAATCCTTCTTTTCTTTACTCGTGGAATCATGGCCTATATTCAGGTCTTCTTCACCTCCAGATGGTTGTCAGGGTCTCCTAGCTTGACTCTCTTCTTTCCTCCTTCCTCATCGATGTTGACATAGTCTTTTCAAAGCCTAAGCCTTATCATGTCAGCCCTCTGCTCAAAAATTTCCAGGGTTTTCCTTGTTTCTCTAAGATAAAATACAAATTAGTTTTTTTGGGGTCATCCACAGTCTGACTTCATCAGACTTTTTCAGCCTTATTTCATAAGACTTGCCTTTAGGCACTCTTGATTCTAGTCAAAGTGGATTACCATTAGCTGTCCCTAGAAGGTGACATTCCATCTGGGACATGCTATTTGCAGATACCATCCTTCATGCTTGTAGTGATTACTTGCCTCAACTTTGCCTTTTGAAATTCTTACCCTTCCAAGGTTCTGCTCATGGGCCATTTCTTCCTTAAAGCTTCCTAGATCTCCATCCACAGTCCTTCCAACCTATTGTTCTCCCTCCTCAAATTCCTTTACATTTACTTATCTCCATACCCACACTATACCCTGGTAGAACGTAGACCCCTTGAGGTCACAGATTATTTTATTTCATTCTTTGCATTTTCTGTGGCTAGCATGGTGTCTTGCATAGTGCTTAATAATTGTTTGTCAAATTGAATTGGAACCTGGATCATCTGGTTGGACTCACCAAGAGGACCAGTATTCGGAACCCATGGCCAGGCCAAGGCAAAGGTTATCTGATTTAGGTGTTCCATACTTATTTCCTGTTAAATGAGAAAAAGACCCTGGAGTAGGGTTAGACCTGATGACTTGTAGAGTGAAGCAGCTTAAAAGGCTGGAGAAAAGGCTGATGGATGTTTGGAAGGTGAATTCTGGCTATGGGAACTTCACTGACACCATAAGTAGGTTCTGGAATTCAGTGGAAATTCTGTCATGGGATGAGGTGTGTGTGTGTGTGTGTGTATGGACACATGCAAATACTAAAGTTAATTTAAGCTCAGGTACAGAACTGAGGGTAACAACTCAAGGAGCTGTGTTAGTCCTGGAAGCTACCAAGACAGATAGAACATCAGCTAATACAATTCCAGAGTGCTGACATCAGATAATCAATCATCGATGAAATTTCATTTATTAGGCACCTACTATGTGCCAGGCACTGTGCTAAGTGCTGGGGATGCAAGAAAAGGCCATCCTCAACGATTCCCCAATTTTAATGTTGGAGTCTTCAGCTAAACGATTAGATACAGACAAGATATAAACCTAGTGGATAGATGGGGAAAACGGGTAGTCTCATAACAGAAAGCATCAGAGGACCTGGCTGGGCTTCTTTTCTTTTTTGTTCTGGTCAAAAATTTAATGCACATAGTTGCTATTTATCTTGAGCAGCCCTGGCATCATCATGCCTGTCTTTTCTTCTAGTCTGGCAAATCTTTTAGATAAAAAAAACTGAAACCCTTCTGGGATTGCCAAGGCAGATTCAGCTGTCCAACTAAAATCCTGCTAGTGTATTTAGTTATGGATATAGTTCTGGCCTTGGCATCAGGAAGACATGGGTCCAGACCTCATCTCTGAGACTTAACGGCTATGTGTCTGCCAGGTAAGTCATGTAACCTCAATGAGCCTCAATCTTCTTGCCTATTAAATGAGGAGTAATGGTAGCACTGACCACCCAGAATCATTGTGAGGGTCAGATGAGACAATGTATATAAAATACTCCGAATACATGAAAGTTCAATAATGTAACTATTGTCAGTGGCCTTTTGGGGTACAGTAGTAATAGGGAGGCATACTCTTGTGTGTGTATGGAATTCACAACTGCACTTTTCATTGTGTTTCTTCAATGTCAGTCAGGGATTTTGGAGATACTGGGACTTCCACCAGTTTGGTACTTCTTCCAAGTACCACCTACATCAGATGCAAATGTCACAGTGACTGATACTCTGTTCAATAAAGTTCCAGTCCGAGTCTTTGAGCCAAAGCAAAAATCGTCTACGATGAGAAGAGCCATGTTTTATATTCATGGTGGTGGCTGGACCACAGGAGATGCTAGTAAGTACTTTTCTTAGGGAACTGAATCTTGGAGAGGCTGACACATTTCAGTCCACCTTTGACATTTATCAGAGTATTTTGTAGTTAGGAGATAATAGAGCAGAGCCAAACTGAGCAGAGAGGAGATGAGAGGAAAGAGGAGGGGAGAACAGGAAGAGAGAGGAGGATGGGGCAGGAGAGAAGAAAGAAGGGGAGGACAGGGGAGGAGAACGGAGAAGAAGGGAGGACAGGGACTGAGAAGAAGAGGGACGAGGGGAGGACAGGACACAGCTAGTTACTCAAAACTTCCTAGGCTTTGATGGGGTTTAACCAGAATGCCATTTTATTAATTTACAAGTTAAGATAACCAGTATTGGTCATTTGCAGAGGACACTAGCTTCTAAAAGGTATGTACGCTGGGTATACCAAATCACTGATTATGTTTCTTTGGTGAATACAAAATTAGAATAAAGAGATGGTCTTTTAGATCTTTAAAGGTAGCTGGTGGCACAATGTATAGAGGACTGGACCTGGAGTCAGGAATCCCACCTCTGACACTTACTTACTTTGTGACCCTGGGCAAGTCACTTAACCTCTGTCTGCCTCAGTTTCCTCAACCGTAAAATGGAGATGATAATAGCAACTACCTCCCAGGGTTGTTGTGAGGATCAAATGAGATAATTTTTGTAAAAAGTTCAGCACACTGTCTGGCACATTGTAGATTTTAGAATAAGTAGTAACAAATGCTTATTTCCCTCCCTGTTCCCTCCCTTCCTCCTGCTTTATGGGTGTAGGTGAGATAACTGGTTTTTCTGGATTTGTGAATTCATCGCAGCGGGGAATCCCTGTTGTGGTAGTATAAATGTAAACCATCAACTCTTCTGTAACATGTAAACAGTAGAGAGTGGCCTATGGGCTCTTGAGAGATTGACTCTGAGGCTCGTCTCCTTTGTAAAATGTCCCACTGCCTATGAGATACCTGGCCCCCCGGTGCTGGAGGGAAAGATTGGAGTCCGAAGACCTTAGTTCAAAGTCTGGCTGTGCCATTTACTTCCTCTGTGACCTTGAGCAGTCACTTTTTATGAGCCTCTGTTTCCTCATCTGTAAAAAGAGGGGAGTGGACATGATGGCCTCAGACGACCTTTCCCGTTACAGACCTAGAATTCTGTGATTGGAACCCTTTTCCCTGAACAGTGCTAAGAACATACCAATAGGAGGGGTGCCAAGATGGTGGAGTGAAGGCACGAACTCACCTGCACTCTCCCCTAAGCCCCTCCAAATACCTTTAAGTAATAAGCAAGTTTTAGAACTGCAGAACACACAAAAAGATAGAATGAAACAATTTTTCAGCCCTAAACAACTTTGCACCAGGTTGGCAGAAAAGGTCTGTTGCACCAAGGTAGGAGTGGAATGTAGTCCAGTGCAGGCACACCAGTGCAGACTGGCCCTCAAACCAGGAGCTGGCCTTGGGGGCAGCTGAATCAGTGGCATGGCAGCATTGGTGGTTTCCAGACCTCTCTGCCCACGGATGATAATGGGATCAGACAACAAGTCAGAAGGAGATTATGGGGGTCCAGGGGCAGGACTCTGTTACACTGCTTATACTTGGATCTGGGTCACAGTTCTGGGCCTTAGTCCCAGTACAAGGGGGAGCGCCAGAACAGCAGAAGTTGTGACCACAGAAGAGCAGGGACCCTGTTCACCGTTCTAGGGTTAAAAGAGTGCCTGTGATAGCTCACAAACCAGCCCGCGATACAGGAGAGTAGTAAATGCACCTCTCCCTAGATCATACCACTTTGGAAGAATAAAAAACTTACAGGTCCCCAGAATTACCTTTGAAAACAGTTGTACAAAAATATCTGAAGCTCGGGACAGTTTCCCCTGCACTTGGGAAGCAGAGCCTTCCTTTAGCATAGAGATAAAAGTCAAGAAATAGGTTGGAAAATGAGCAAACAACAGAAAAAATTCTGACCGTAGAAAGTTACTATGGTGAAAAGGAAGATTAAAATACACACTGAGAGGAAGACAACAAAGTCAAAATTCCTGCATCCAAGGCCTCGAAGAAAAATATGAATTGGTCTCAGAATATGGAAGAGCTTAAAAAAGATTTTAAGAATTGAGTAAGAGAGGTAAAGGAAAAATTGGGAAGAGAAATGAGAGTGATGCAAGAAAATAATGAAAAAAAGAGTCAACATCTTGGTTGAGGCACAAAAAAATACTAAAGAAAATAACACCTTACAAAACATAATAGGCCAAATGGTAAAAGAGGCACAAAAATCTAATGAAGAGAAGAATGCCTTGAAAAGCAGAACTGGCCAAATGGAAAAAAAAGATATACAAAAATTCACTGAAGAGGAGGACTTCTTAAAAAAGTAGAATTGGCCAAATGGAAAAGGAAGTACAAAAGCTCACTGAAGAAAATAAATTCCTTAAAAGTTAGACTTGGACAAATGGAAACTAATGACTTTATGAGACATCAAGAAACTATAAAAAAAGTGAAAAAAATAGAAGAAAATGTGAAATATATCATTGGAAAAACAACTGACCTGGAAAATAGATCCAGGAGAGATAATTTAAGGATTATTGTCATGATCAAAAAAAAAGAGTCTAGGCATCATCTTTCAAGAAATTATCAAGAAAAACTGCCCTGATATTCTAGAACCAGAGGGTAAAATAGGAATTGAAAGAATCTACCAATCACCTCCTGAAAGAAATCCAAAATAAAAACCCCCAGGAATATTATAGCCAAATCCCAGGCCTCCTAGATCAAGGTGAAAATACTGCAAGAAGCCAAAAAGACACAATTCAAATATTGTGGAACCACTGTCAGGATAACACAATATTTAGCAGTTTCTACATTAAAGGATCATAGGGCTTGGAGTATGATACCCTGGAGGGCAAAAGAGCTTGGACTGCAACCAAGAATCACCTACACAGAAAAAACTGAACATAATTCTTCAGGGGAAAAAAAGGGATATTCAATGAAATAGAGGCCTTTTAAGCATTCCTGATGAAAAGACAAGAACTGAATAGAAAATTTGACTTTCAAATACAAGATGCAAAAGAAGCAGAAAAAGGTAAACAGAAAAGAAAAACCATAAGGGATTAGATAATGTTAAATTGTTTATATTCCTACATGGGAAAATAATATTTATAACTCCTAAAAACTTTCTCGTTATTAGGGCAATTAGAAAAAATATGCATAGATAAAAAGCAGGGTGTAAGTTGAATGTGATGATATGCTTATCTAAAAAATTAAGGGATGAGAAAGAAGAATGCACGAGGAGAAAGGGAAATGGAACATTAGAATGGGTTAAATTATCTGACATAAAAAAGGCCTGAAAGAGATTTTACAGAGGAGGGGAAAATGGGGAAAGCATGGAGGGGAGCACATGAACCTTACTCTCATCAGAATTGGCTCAAAGAAGGAATAATATACACATTCAATTGGGTGTAGAAATCTATCTTGCAATAAAGAAAAGTAGGAAGGGAAGGGGATAGAGAAGGGAGGGAGAGCTGATAGAAGGTAGGGCAGTTTGGGGGAGGTAAAAGTCAGAAGCAAAACACTTTTGAGAATGGACAGGGTAAAATGGGAAAGAAAATAGGATAAACAGGGGAAATGGGATGGAGGGAAATATATAATTGGTAATCATTACTGTGAAAAAAAATTTTACAGTGAGTTTCTCTCAAACATATAGAGAACTGGGTCAAATTCATAGAAATAAGAGCTATTTCTCAATTAATAAATGGTCAAAGGATATGAACAGGCAGTTTTCAGACAAAGTAATCAAAGTAATCATATAAAATGCTCTAAATCACTATTGATGAGTGAAATGAAAATTAAAACATCTCTGAGCTACTACCTCACATCTGTCAGATGAACTAATATGATAGAAAAGAAAGATGACAAATGTTGGAGGAGATGTGAGAAAATTAAAACACTAATGTACTATTGGTGAAGTTGTATTCTGATTCCACCATTCTGGAAAGCAATTTGGAACCATGCCCAAGGGGCTACCACTACTAGGTCTATCTCTCAAAGAGATAAAAAGCAAGAAGGAAAAGGATCTATGTGTACAAGAATATTTATAGCAGCTCTTTCAGTGGTGGCAAAGAATTGGAAATTGATGCCCATCAGCTGGGGAATGGCTGAACAAGTTGTTGTATATGCTTGTGATGGAATACTTTTGTGCTTTAAGGAATGATGAGCAGGATACTCTCAGAAAAACCTGGAATGATTTACATGAACTGATGCAAAGTGAGGTGAGCAGAACCAGGAGAACATTGTACACAGTAACAGCAATAATGGATGAGGCTCTACTATGAATAACTTAACTATTTTTAGCAATATAGTGATCCAAGACAGTTCTGTAGGACTTATGATGAAAAGTGCTGTCAATCTCCAGAGAAAGGTGGTAGAAAGAAAGAAGTGGTAGAGCCTGAATGCAGATCAAAGATGCTTTTTCTTTCTTTCTTTTTCTTTTTTTCTTTTTTTTGGTCTGTATTTTTTTTCACAGAATGACTTACATGGAAATGTTTTTTTGCATGACTACACATGTATAACCTAAATCAAATTGCTTGCCTTCTCAATGGGATGGGGAGGAAGAGAATTTGGAACTCAAAATTTGAAAAAAAGAATTAAAAACTTTTTACACATAATCGTAAAAAAGTAAACATTTAAATGTGATTTTAAAAAAGAACAAAAAACCAACACTGTATGTACATTCTAAGTACACACCAACAGCGTGTGTACATTCTAAGGACACACCAACAGCATGCATACATTCTAAGGACATACCAAAGGTGTGTGTACATTCCAAGGACATGCCAACAGTGTGTGTACGTTCTAAGGACACACCAACAGCATGTGTACCTTCTGCTGTTCTTTCTCTATTCTCTACAGATGTACAGTTTTAGAGTCAGAGGTCTCAGCCTGAAGAACCCTCTAAGCCTGACATCACAAAGCAGCCCAGCTGTGTTTCCAGTGCATCCCATCAGTCTCCATCGAAGTCCACATCCACAAACCTGGCCCATGTTGCAGCCCACCTATCAGGCACCAACTTGCATTAGCAAGGATTCTGACTGCAAGTTAAAAAGAAGCTTTACCAGAAGGAAAGAGAGCAACAAACTGTGTAGATCTTGCAGCAGAGCCCCCTGAAACCTCCTGGGATCACCCAGAGAATCATCCCTAGTTTTGTGGCCTTAGCATGAGGGGTCCTTTCAGACCTGGCCCCTCTGCTGATTCTCCCCAAGGATCCACAGAATTGGAGAGTTTTAAGGGCCCTAGTGGCCATCTGGGCCAACCTCTACATGAAAGTAATCCCCACATAGGCATTTCTGACCTGTGGTTGTCCAGCCTCTGCTTAGAGACCTCCTTGGAGGGAGAACCCGCCCCTCCAGGGCAGGCCATTCTCCTGGGCTAACTCTCATTAAGAGGATGGCTTTTTCCTGACATTGTGCCTAATTTGGCTTCTTTGAGACTTTTACCCATTGCTTTTGGCTTTGCCCTCTCATAACAATAGCTGTTCTGGTATTTGAACAATGCTATACAATTCCCTCATAAATCTTTGTTTTTCTGGGCCTCCCTTTTCTCACTGTACAATGGGAGGATTGGACTCAAAGACCTGTAAGACTCCTCCAAACTCTGAGTCTAAGATCCCAAGGTGAAGGCCTATACTTGCAGAAGCTATATTATTACAAGCCACCTGCTTAATGTTTCCAAGCCTAAGCTTTCTATCTGTAACACAGAGAAAATAATGCCTGCTTTGCTTACCTCACACAGCTTATAGGACTAAAACAAGGTGTATAGACTGTAAAGCACTATAGAAATATGAGTGATCATACCACTTGCAAAAATAATAGGGAGAAAAAAAGACAAAAAGAATAGGGAGCTTATAATTTGAAAGTCAATAGGCTTCCCCCATTTGAGTCAGTGGACCTATGATTGTGTTGGTATGGGAAGCCCTGGTAATGAAACCTTCTCTCCCAACAGAGACTGGTACCTGCTCTGTTTCGTGAATTTAAAGTCTTAAAATTTCCTGGGGATACTGAGGGGTTAAATAGCTTACCCAGGGTCACACAGTATGTGTCAGAGAGAGGATTTGAACTCAGTTCTTCCTGACTCTGAGGTTAATTCTCTGCACTATTAGGCAGTCCTACCTCTAGTAAGGTCTGCATTCTATCTTTATTCTATCCCATTGTATTTTTATAACATCTCATTTTATTTTTAAAGCACCCACATATCTAATTTTCAAAAAACAAAGCACAGGAATGGCTTGTTTCATGTTGAATATAAACTCCTTGAGTGCAGACCATTGTGTCTTCAGTAATTTTATTTCATGGGTTGTATGAGTCATGGAAGTTACCTTCTCTGAAGAATACAAAATGAATATCCCTCAGGTACATAGTGGGTAGGAGCTGGCTATAATAAGTAACAAGATAGGGATTATGAAGAGTACCTAGAATAAAGCATGTCATCAAAGAAAAATGTGGAATGAGAAAGGATGGGCTGGTGCCATGGCAAGGACAAAGCATAATGGAGGGCCCATGTGTTCCATGCTGCCCTCAAGATGCCTCTGGCACATTGGCTGATCCCTGGTGATGAATTTATGGAAGGACATAGGGAAGCATTTTCCAGGATGAGCTCTCTTGGATGGGTGGCAAATAGCATTGTTGAAGGAGATATCCCTTGAAGGGGATAGCAAGGAGGTGACATCTTCTTTAGTATTTGAGAATATCCAACAGGTGGTACAATAACTTTGTTGATAAGTAGTGCGGTGGTGAGAGTGTTGGTCCTGAGTCAGGAAAACCTACCTCTTCCTTCAGAGGGGTATGTGACAGCTAACGTCGGATATTTGAAGAGCTCTCCCCTAGAGGCTGTATTAGTCTTGTTCCTTTCAGCCCCAAGGGGAAGAAGTAGGAGCAGTGAGTCAAAACCCAAAGAGAAAAGTGTGGGTCTGTTGTCAGGAATAAATTTCTTACCAACCAGAGTAGTCCGAAAATGGAAAGGGCTGCCTGGAGAGGTGCTGGCTTCCCCCTTTCGAAGGTCTTTGATCAGAGACCGGAGGACCACTTGTTGGCTATGTTATGCTAGGGTTCTATTCGGGGATGGGTTGGCCTAGATGGCTGCTGGGGTCCCATCCAACTTGAATTCTGGGATTTTATTTCCTCCAAAGTCATTTCCTATCATAACTGTAGAAGTCTCAGAGGCATATATCATTGCCTTCAAAATCAGAAACAGAATGATGTTAACTTTTGGGAAAGTTTATTCAGAAATCTTTAAAGCTTCTTAGAAGGGAAAGATTGATTTGAAGCCTGTATCAAATGCCCAGGTACCTCTGAGAGAGAGATAAACATTAGTCTGGCCTCTTCTTGAACCAAAATCCCATCAGTTCTGCTCCACTGAGGTTTCACGTCATAGGGTGGCCTGTGAAGCAAAGGAACATTATTTTGTCTGTGAAGAGAAAATAGCGTACTCCATCTCTTCTTCTCCTGGTTCACAGGGGACTGACCATTTTCACTTGTATTTTACCCCTCCTTTAGCACTTTGCAACCCGGTTCCAAGTTCAATAATTCTCCTTTATCAACCTTGTATCTTTAAAATTTCAGACAACCTTGTGCCTTGTGTATTGTGGAAACGTGTACATGTGTAGGGAGAGTGTGTTCCATTTGACTGACGTATTTCATTTTTCTCTCTAGACAGATCAATACTGATAGCCCATGCAATTCCCTCTAGAGTGATCTATGAATATCAGGAAATAACTATAGGATTTTTGTGAGAGAAGCAGGCACCTTTTTCCTTGTCAGTTCTAATTGACTTGATGTGATGTCTTGTATTTTAGGTTGGATGCCCTATGATAATTTAGCAAGACGGGTGGTCAACAAACTTGATGCTGTGGTCGTATCAACTAAGTAAGAATGATTTAAGTTTGGGGCCAGATCTGTTAAGGCAAAGGGTACATCACCTTCCACGGCTATGTTTTGTTTTTAACACCTCTCAGTTGCTTCCAAGGCAGTGTGGTGTGTGGATTGGGGATCTTGGGGGGGGGGGTTGGAGTCAGGAAGTCACCTATCTTGGGTAAGCCACTTAATGGCCACAGATAAGGACTAGACTGCCAGATAGGGTCATATCACTTATCAGATGTTCCAGCAGGGAAAAGATCCACCAGCTTGAGAAAGGTCAGGGTAAAGGGCCGAGAGCCACCAAGTGGTGGCTTGAATCCAATCTAATTCAATTTAACTCAACAACTGGTGGCTTAGAGTGTAGGAGGACTAAGAATGAGACTTTCTGCTGTCAATCAAGGAAGAGGGGATAGGGAAGGTGGAAGAGTATGTGTAAGGAGCAGATAAATTCCCTGAATTAGCCAAAACCTGTTTATCCACCATGACTTGACAGACCTATGAGGTGGAAAGAGACTTCTCAATATTTAGTAGATGATTTCAATGAGTCCTTGAGGTAGAGATTGGCAAATCCCTTCTATTATTTGGGGTTCCACTTCCTCAACTATAAAATGAGAAAATTGGGCTAGATGGCATTTCTAAGGCCTCTTCCAGTTATGTTCTATCCACAATCCAGGAACTGATTGCTGTGTGAGGAAATGGCAACCTGAAATCAGCTTAGATTTGGAATGACTCTGAGACCTATGAATAAAATGATTATATAACTGAAAAGTTTCAAGTAGCTCTCATGATGACTAAAGCAAATTAAATTAGCCCAAAATGATAAAGGTAAGCTTTTAAAAATTAAATCAACTTTTTTTTTTTATTGGACAGGTCCTTGCAAAGTATTCCAATTGTTTCATGTCTGTAGGTGCATAATCAAATTTATTTGTTTTCCATAATATGTTCAATGGTAAAACAAACAAAAACTGAACATTATTTGTATGAGAAACTTTATATGATGAAAAGATGGTTTATTTAGAGTTTTTATAAAAATTTTAAAAAGAACAAATCAGTTTTTCCCCCCGGGCTTGTAATTTCAGTCAGGAAACTCTCTTTACAAAAGTAGCCCAAGGTCACAGCCAGTATGGGTTAGAGACAGTGCTTGAACCCAGATCTTCTGACTCTTCATCCCATAGATTCATTGCCTTTCAGAAATCTTGGATAAGGCTATGGCAGGGTGTAATTGTTTGGACTTAATACATAAATAACCATCATCCCTCAATTAATTTATCGTCAAATATTATATGAAACATTAGCCATCTACTCACTGTGGTACTAGCACAATGGGTGGAGGGAGGGGGAGAAGAGATAAAGTCAAGGGGGCAAACAGATAGGTCAATGAAAAGGACAACCACCAAAAGTGTGAGAGCAAACCATGGAAGGGCCATGTCCTATCTGACCCATTTCAAAGCTAAATGCACCATCACCTTCCCACTTGTTAAATAATCATCATTCGTGATCCTGCATGTTTCATGATCTGAGGTGTATGGGTAAAGATTGCAAAAACTCAGCTTTTAAAGACCATATTTCAATATGCAATATGGAAGCAAAGTTTTTTCTTTATACAAATGATTCAAAAAACTATTTAAAAACCCACATATACATAATTTTGCTTTTAAGTAAAAAAAAAAAGAAATCCCATATAGCATATGCCTTTAGTATTTATCTAGAACTCATATTATTCAATAAATATTTTGTTTTTCTCTAAAAAGCTACAGATTATCCCCCCAGTATCACTTTCCAACTCAATTTGAAGATGTATATGATGCCTTAAGGTGGTTCTTGAGGAAGAAAGTCCTTGAAGAGTATGGTGTGGACCCTGCTCGTATCTGTATTGCTGGAGACAGTGCTGGTGGGAATTTAGCTGCAGCCGCCACTCAGAAGGTATTAGATCAATATTTCTATGGTTTTTTTATTTAATGTCCTTTTCAATGTCATGTTTGTATCATAAATTTTTAAAAATTATTTCACCCTAAGAATGTTATAGGAATAATCAGGGAGAATGAATCTATTTTTTTTTAATGTATCCCTTCCTCCTGTTAGATTGACTTCTTTTCTTTCTAAAATGATATGGCAATACCATGGAGGTCAGCGGTTTTAGAATGCTCTGCCCATGCATCATAATAGGAATGAGCTTTTAGTTCAGTGGCACAACCAACTGGATGATAAAAAGAATTCCTCATGATCTTTGAAACCCCAAACACTAACCCTTCCATCCCCAAAGGTATGAAACCCAATGGAACCAGTTCACTGACTTCCCGAGATTGTGTTATATTTGTCTTTCTGCTAGAGGTTCTCACTATGAGTGTGGTCAAATGAAAGCTGATTTTCCTGTTTAAGAAGTTGAAAAGCCACAGAAATTTTGTTCCATACCTTACTAAAAATGATGAGTTCCCACATATGATGAGAAAGTGGAATATGCAAGAAGGAACTGAGAAAGAAAAATATTCTAAGGAGGTGGGAGGGAGCCATAATCAAGGTCAGGTGGTTGGAAAACAGACATGACAGAGAAAAATGTAAACACAAAGAAACCTTAAGCAATGGGTATTCTAAGAAAGAAGTAGTACTTCTGCTTCATGGAAAAATGAGGATCCAGAGGCTGCATTGAGGGGAAAACCATCATTGATCCAAGCACAGGAGACATTGTGGTGGTGGGTGATTCCACTCCATGGAGTCATGGGACCTTGGATCAAACTCAACTCTGATGTGTACTACCTGTGTGACCTTCGTGAATCACTTTAACATTCTGGGCCTCAGTTTCCTCATCTATCTGATCTATTTTCTAGCTTTATATTTATGAATTTATGGATTAATTTCAAAAGATGGAGTCAAGCTTGGAATATTGAAATGTAAAGAAATATTTTATGAGCTTAGCACACCCTTGAATGTCCGCAAGGAACTGGTTCCCTAGATGTTCAGGAATGGAGATTCCCTCCTTCCACTTTCTTATTGGATTCTATGTATGTAATCCACACTTTTTCCTATATCAGGGTTCTTTGCATCCCTCAGTAATAATGCTTGTTAAATTCTTATGTGAACTCAGTTTAGATAATCTCTTTCTATGACAGCCCTACTTTGCCTTGGATGCGAAACCTGTGTTAGTTATTCTTGTCACAAGGAGTCTGTGCTGGCCCAGTACATTGTCCTTGAGGTGACCTCCTTAAACTGATTACTGGGAGGAGACCCACACACAAAGAGGGATAGACAGATGGAGATGTAGAAACAGAGAGACAGAGACAAATCAGAGATGGACATTTCCCTACAGCCCTGTGTGACAAGAAGATAATCAACCACTTTTATGTTGCTTCTGATTTACTTATAAAGGAGAATAATATTAGGACAAAAAAGGAAAGAAGAAATATCATTGAGAGAATTGAGAGGCTGAGACAAAATGGTGGAGAGAAGCTAGGAAGTTGCTTGGGTCCTCCTCAGTTTCCATCAGAAACAATGTTAAATTAAGCCTCTAAAAGAATTTCGGAGTGACAGAATCCACAAAAATGATGGAATGAAACAATTTTCCAGCCCAAGGTAACTTAGAAGTGCTTCAGGAAAGGTCTGTCTAACTTGGGTAAAAGGGGAGCACAACCCAGTATAGGCAGTGCCTGGGCAAGCCAGTAGGAGGCTCTTAGCCACAGCACAGATCAGCACCTGAGGCCTAGCTGTTCTGGCTCAGCAGGCCAGTGGCACAGCAGACCAGCTATGAAGCCTCCAGCCCCAGTGCAGCAGGTAAACTGCCAGCCCCAGAATCTAGGGCATTACAGGTAGGCCAGGTCACCCTAGTGCAGTGGGCAAGCCACCAGCTCCAGAGGTCCTGGCGCAGATAACCAGTGACCAGGCCCCTGGTCCCCAGTGCAAGGAGCTTGAGACAGTGCCCCTTGTGCCCCAGGAGCAGAGCTCATTTTTTTTTAAATGGGCAAAAAACAAATAAGAGCCTAGACCATAGAAAGCTATGATGGCAGAGGGAAGATCAAAACACAAACTCAGAAGAGGACAGCAATGTCAAAATGCCTACATACAAAGCCTCAAAGAGGAAGATGAATTGGTCCCAAGCCCCAAAAGTCCTCTTGGAAGAGCTCAAAAAAGATTTTAAAATCAAGTAAGAGAGGTAGAAGAATAACTGGGAAAAGAAATGAGAGTTATGCAAGACAATTATGAAAAAAGAACCAACAGCTTGGAAAAGGAAGCACAAAAATTGACTGAAGAAAACAATTCCTTAAAAATTGGAATTTACCAAATGTAAAAAGAAATCCACTGAAAAAAACCAACTCCTTTGAAAGCAGAATTGGCCAAATGCAAAAGGAGGTACAAAAGGTCACTGAAGAAAATAATTGCTTAAAAAGTAGAATTGGGAAAGTGAAAGCTAATGACTCTATGAGACATCAAGAATCAGTCAAACAAAATCAAATGAATGAAAAAAATAGAAGAAAATATAAAATACCTCATTGCAAAAAAAACTGACCTGGAAAATAGATCCAGGATTGATAATTTAAGAATTATTGGATTGTCTGGAAGCCATGATCAAAAAAAGAAAAAGCTTGTGGAGAGCATCTTTCAAGAAAGTATCAAGGAAAACTGCCTTGATATTGTAGAATCAGAAGATAAAATAATCATTGAAAGAATCCACCAATCACCTCCTGAAAGAAATCTGCAAATGAAAACTCCAGGGAATATTGTAGCCAAATTTCAGAATTATTAGGCCAAAGAGAAAATACTGCAAACAGTCAGAAAGAAACAATTCAAATATTGTGGAGCCACAGTCAGGGTTACACAGGACTTAGCAGATTCTACATTGAAGGATTGGAGGGCTTGGAATATGATATTCAAGAAGGCAAAGGAGCTTGGATTACAGTCAAGAATCAACTACCCAGCAAAATTGAGCATAAATTTTCAAGGGAAAAGATGGGACATTCAATGAAATAGGTGAATTTCAAACTTTCCTGATGAAAAGACCATAGCTGAACAGAAAATTTAATCTTCAAATACAAGACTCAGGAGAAGGATAAAAAGGATAAAAGCAAGAAAGAAAAAAGCAACAACAACATGGTATTCAATAAAGTTAAATTTTTGACATCCCTATATGGGAAGATGATACCTATAACTCTTAAGAAAGGTATCTCTATTAGGGCAGTTAGAAGGAGTATACATAGACAGAGGGTGTGAGTATAAATTGACTTTGATGTGGTGATATTAACAAATTAAAAGGTAAAAAAAGGATTGCACTGGGAGAAGAGGAAAGGGGAAAGCAGAATGGAATAAATTATATCACATGAAGAGGCATAAAAGACCTACTACAGTAGAGAGAAAGAAGGTAGGGGGTGAGCATTGTTTGAACCTTATCTCATCAGATTTGGCTCCAAGAGGGAGTAACATACACACTCAGTTGGGTAGAGGGAAGTAGGAGGAGAAAGGAAAAAGAAAAAGGCAGGGGGGCTGATAGAAGGGAGGGCAGATTGAGGGAGGTGATGGTCAGAAGGAAACTACATCTTGCTAAAAGGTACCATAGACAATGAATCAATACTAAACATATATGCACCAAGATGTATAGCATCCAAATTCTTAGAGGAGAAGCTAAGGGAGTTACAAGAAGAAATAGACAGCAAAACTATACTAATGGGGGACCTCAACCCCCCCCTCTCAGAACTAGATAAATCTAACCACAAAATAAACAAGAAAGAACTTAAGGAGGTAAATAGAATTTTAGAAATGTTAGATATGATAGACCTCTGGAGAAAACTGAATGGAGATAGAAAAGAATATACCTTTTTGTCAGTGGTACATGTCACCTACACGTAAATTAACCATGTATTGAAGGATAAAAACCTCACAATCAAATTCAGAAAGATGGAAATATTAAATGCATCATTTTCAGATCATAATGCAATAAAAATTACATGTAAAAAAGGACAATGGAAAGATAGATTAAAAATTAGTTGGAAACTAAACAACATAATCCTAAAGAATGAATGGATCAAACAACAAATCATAGAAACAATAAATAATTTTATCAAAGAGAATAGCAATAATAAGACAACATACAAAAATTTATGGAATGAAACCAAAGCAGTACTTATAGGAAATTTTATATTTCTAAATGCTTATATGAATAAAATAGAGAAAGAACAGATCATTGAATTGGGCATGCAATTAAAAAAGCTAGAAGAAGAACAAATTAAAAATTGCCAATTAAATATCAAATTACAAATTCTCAAAATCAAAGGACAGATTAATAAAATTGAAAGTAAGAAAGCTATTGAACTAATAAATGAAACTAGAAGCTGGTTTTATGAAAAAATAATAAAATAGATAAACCCTTAGTTCATTTGATTTTTAAAAAGAAAGAAGAAAACTACATCACCAGTATCAAAAATGAAAAGGGCAAATTCACCACCAATGAAGAAGAAGTTAAAACAATAATTAGGAGCTATTTTGCCCAACTGTATGCCAATAAATCTGACAATCTAAGTGAACTGGATGAATATTTACAAAAATTACAATTGCCCAGATTAACACAAGAAGAAATAAAATATTCAAATAACACCATTTTAGAGAAAGAAATTGAACAAGTCTAAGAAAAAATCTTCAGGGCCAGATGGATTTACAAGTGAGTTCTACCAAGCATTTAAAGAACAATTAATTCTAATACTATATAAATCAGAAGTGCTGATGATTTATGTGGGTTTATTTTATATCCTGCAACTTTCCTAAAGTTGTTAATTATTTCAAGTAGTTTTTAAGTGGATTCTCTAGAATTCTCTAAGTATACCATCATATCATCTGCAGAGAGTGATAGTTTTTGCCTAGTCTAATTTCTTCAATTTCTTTTTCTTCTCTTATTACTCAAGTTAACATTTCTAGTACAATATTGAATAATAGTGGTGATAATG